GTTCTCCTACTCCCAGGCGCCACCGAGTCTCAAGTCCTTGCTTCAGGCCTGTTGGCTGCTGACCGTGGCCTTTGGCAATGTCATCGTCGTGATCATCGCCGAGCTCAAGTTCTTTAAATCGCAGGCCAGCGAGTTCTTCCTCTTCGCCGGCCTCATGTTTCTCGATATGCTGATTTTCATGTGGTTCGCCTTTTACTACGTTAGCTACGACGAGGTCGCAGCAATGCACCAGAGGAAACTGATTAAGAAGAGACATTAAAACATTTAATATATACATAATGTAATGTGCACAAATATAAATTATTGTATTACTAAATGTTGTCGGAATAAATGTTGCGATTCGAAAAAGCATTTACACGCGCGCCCAATCAGACCTCATCAGGTACAGTGTGACCAAGGCTTCCAATTCTACAAATAACATAATCATATGCAATTATAATACTGTATTTAAAAATTACAACAAAAATAATAATTATTAAAGGCATCTCAAAAATAATAAACAATATTTGATATAATATGTAAAAGAATATTAAACTAGCTTTTGTATGATTGTGAAATTTAAATTTACCGCCAGCCTAGTGTGCCCATATCTTGCTAATGCTGAAATCAATGGACAAAATTTTGAAAAGTCGGCAAACAACGCATTGGCCAACATAATAAAGTCTAAAAAAAAAAAGATGTAAACAATATAATTTACGTTATTAATAAATTCTGCTGTAACCAGGGCTGGTCAAGAAACATGCGCACTAACAACTATTTGCTGGCGTTGCCAATGGTCGTTACCAAAAAGTTGGCAGCCCCGCCTAGTCATTTGACATATGGCATTTTTAGCGCTTTTTGCCGATGTCTGGTGAAAAAAATACGAACAAGAAGAAGAACAGTCTGCTGCAATCATATGACTTGTCGATCGATAGAGAAAAATAAAGGTTGAATTTTCGTCGTGCGCTGCTACGTGTTGGTTTAAAAAAGCGTTTGCAACAGTTTTAACAAACACTTACCAGCCCCAAAACAGCCGAACGGAGTGCATCCACCCAGCCAAGCCAAACCAAGTGAATTCCAGCGAATTTCCAATCTCTTCTCTGTCTCTGTCGCTCTCGCTAGTTCTTCCATCCCCATTTTTTGTGCATTATGGACAGCTCGGGATTCATGTTCAACGTAGACAATGGCTACCTGGAGGGCCTCTGTCGCGGCTTCAAGTGCGGCATACTCAAGCAGGCCGACTATCTCAATCTGGTCCAATGCGAGACGCTGGAAGGTAAGCGAAATAACTTCCATTTAATGGCCTCCATTTCCAATACGCCCGCCCCAGTCACATGACGGGCTATCAGTCACACATACACACGCACACATGCATACGCGTGTGTGTGAATTTGTGTATAAGCTTGCCTTGTGATTTGTTGTCATAATACCCTGTAATTTAACCATGCCAGCAGCATATTAGCTCGGCGAAATAGCATATGCTAAATTGTGCAATGTACAAATGTGAGTATAGATAGATCAGATTGATATGCTCAGTTTGTATCATATACATTAATTAATTCTTTCAGTCACAATCGCTTGTGCCTACAGTTTGAGAGTCACGCGCTTGTGCTACCTGTTGACTAATTGAGCAGAGAGAAAAGAGCGAGAGGAAAAAACAGTTTTGTGCTGACTGAAGTCAATCATTTATACATCAGCTATAGATGATGTATATATAAATGATTTCTTATCACAGTTGATGAGTCGCTCATTGAGTCTCTCTCTGTCTACCTCTCCCACTACTCACCGTTCCCCTAATACTACTCCTCGAGAGAATCGTCCAATAAGTGTCAATATACTCATCCTCAACATATAGTTTCGGAATGTTCCATTTTTCGACTACGAAAGTGTGCGTCAGGTTGAATAAGCATAGCTAGAAATTCGCAAGAGCTTACCACATGTGAATTAGAGTTCAGGCACCCGGATAACTTGAGCCCGAACAGCAAACCTCACTTCTTGCATATCTCTCCTTGTTACAGATCTGAAGCTGCATCTGCAGGGCACGGACTATGGCAGCTTCTTGGCCAATGAGCCGTCGCCGCTTTCGGTGTCGGTAATCGACGACAAGCTGCGCGAGAAGCTGGTCATTGAGTTCCAGCATATGCGCAATCATGCCGTGGAGCCGCTGTCCAACTTCCTCGACTTCATCACCTATGGCTATATGATTGACAACATCATATTGTTGATCACGGGCACACTCCATCAGCGCCCCATCTCGGAGCTGATACCCAAGTGTCATCCGTTGGGCAGCTTCGAGCAGATGGAGGCCATCCACGTGGCCTCAACACCCGCCGAGCTCTACAATGCGGTTCTGGTGGACACGCCTTTGGCCCCGTTCTTTGTCGACTGCATTTCGGAACAGGATCTGGATGAGATGAACATTGAGATCATTCGTAATACCCTGTACAAGGCATATCTGGAGGCATTCTACAACTTCTGCAAGAACATGGGCGGCTCCACGGCCGATGTCATGTGCGAGATCCTAGCGGTAAGTCTGTATACCCATCTCCACCTTCCTCTTTACCTATGTCTATGTCTGTTGCTTTCAGTTCGAGGCCGATCGTCGTGCCATCATCATTACGATCAACTCCTTCGGCACGGAACTCTCGAAGGACGATCGGGCCAAACTCTACCCGAACTGTGGCAAGATGTATCCCGATGGCCTCGCCGCCCTGGCCAGGGCCGACGACTATGAGCAGGTGAAAACTGTTGCCGAGTATTACGCGGAGTATGCTGCTCTATTCGATGGCTCCGGCAACAATCCCGGAGACAAGACGCTCGAGGATAAGTTCTTCGAGCACGAGGTCAAGCTGAATGTGTTCGCATTCTTGCAACAGTTCCACTTTGGTGTCTTCTACGCGTATCTGAAGCTCAAGGAGCAGGAGTGCCGCAACATCGTCTGGATCGCCGAGTGCGTTGCCCAGAAGCATCGCGCCAAGATCGACAACTATATACCCATATTCTAAGCCGATCTAAGCAACTGAAACAATAACAAAAAACAAAAACAAATTTTAATTTTCTAATGCAATATTTTGTGCCCTACAATTATTTTTTTTTTTTTTGTGTTTCTCTGTTATACAATTGTTAATGTCTATATATGTATTATATATGTATATGTATATGTATCTTCTTGTTTACGAGTATTATTCCAAGATCGAGCACCATCTGTTCTATATATCAGGCCGATCTACACAATTGTTAATGTTCATATTATATACATATATATATATATATATATATATGATGGTCATGTACTATATATACATGTATATATGTAAATATATATGTGTCTATATGTATTCTTGTTTGCGAGTATTATTCCACTAGACCTATGCCATCAGGCCGAAACTATGATGTCCTCCTGAGCAACTCCGCGGCACTTAAGTCTCACTTGGCCCGATTCCCATTCCCATTCCAATCTACTATATATATATACATGCATACATAAATACATATATATATATATATATATATATATATATCATATATTGTGAAAATAAATCTGTTTTAGTATTCATAAAATATATTATTAATAATTCGATAATCTTGTTCATCATTTCGAAATGAGTTTTTTTTTTCGATACGACGTGAATTACTCCATATACATATAATTTATCATCAAAGAGGTTCTAAGGCATATGTGTATGTATATATATATAGTGTCGTTTCCATTTACTGATGATAGTCAAAGCTCAAATGTTGACTTTTGATATATCTACATATACATATACATATGTATGCATGCATGTATGTTTTAGCTGTCATAGGATTTTCGACTGAGTATGGGGTATTCAACGGACAACCAAAAGCAAGCTTTTACAGCTGTCAGACAAACTGACAAATTATTCAATTTCAGTTCCTATAACATATAACAAAGGGTATTTCTTAGTCGGCTCGAAACGGAAGTTTATATGAGCTTAGTATGTAAAAGCTGCACATCAAGTCCTATCACATAGATGTAGTCCTGTGTCCTTTACATCTCCTAGTTAACCAAGGTTTGGCCAAAGCTTCCCTTATAGGCTCAAGTAACGGAAACTCGCTACAAACATACATACATTCATATGTACATATGTATGTAGATGCATACCAATTTCACTTGATAGCATCTCCATTGGCGAATTCAAGGTCTGTGGTCCAATGGCTCCCAGTTCAATCATGCCGGATCACGTCCGATCACGTCTGCTCCTTTGTCTGTGCAGGCGTTGCTAGAAGTAGAAGTTGGACTCAAGGTTCCCAGGGAGCGGCCGCTTGAGTCACGCACTCAACACAAGGAGACAACAATGGAAGCGCCTCATCCATAGGCGACAATCATCGCAGAGCGGAAAACCAACAGCAACACCAATGACATCTCATTAGCATTGCCCAGCGGCAGAGGCAGTGGGATGAGTCGGAGGGGGAGAGTTGAGTAATTGCCCAACTGGCACCAATCACAGCTGCCTTTCGTCAGTTCGATGCGATGCAAATTACATATGCAAAGCGGGCGGACGAGCGAACGAACATGTTCCACGGCCAATGCTACTCCCGTTAGTTGGAGGCCGTCACAGCCACACACACACACACACACACACGCATGAGCTGTAGCATGTTCGATAGCAAAAAGAAAGCCGCTCTCCACTCAGCTGATCCGACTGATCGCTGGATCAACTTTGCTTGCATGCAGCAGCAGAGGTTCGCACTAGTTCTCTCCACACACACACACGCACGCACACACATGGACACTCCAGTCAAACATGTGCCAAGACAATGAAAAGAAAGCCTCACTGGGCGTACGCTCTCAAACTTGTCTCGAGCAGAGGCTCCCCGTTCGATCCCAACTCCCCAAGAGCGGGCGCGCACCTGCTCGTGGCAACGTGTTCGATGGCAAAAAGAAAGCCGCGCTCAGCTGACCTTTTCGAACGTGTCTCGAGCAGCAGTTGGCCCGCTCGGCTCGCCTCAAATTGCCAATAACTCGACTTGATGTCGTTTTCTTAGCGCAGTTGTGTTTCGCGTCTCCGCACGTTGAGTCCACTTTACATCCGAGGCGAAGCTCCTCCTCTTAGCTTGCAAGCGCGCGCCGATCTAAATTACAAACAATTTTTTTTTTTTTCAAATTCTTTTTACATATTGCTGTGAAATATTTTTATTACACTTTTTTTTCACGTTTTTTGGTTACATAAAAAGTGATAAAGTACTTGAAAGACGCGCCGCCAGCCAGGATAACGCACGTGTAAATAGGTAAATAATAAATTGAACGACTTTTCGGGCATTCGAATTTTCGAATTCGTAATTGTAATATTCAGCTGTTTTATTCGAATTTGAGTCTCGAATCAATGGTTCGATTGCTGCTGCTGCTGCTGATGATGATGATGATGGGGTGCGAAATGCAGCCAGCAGAGCTCTTAGCTTGGCCAAATGCGGCTAATGATGGCCAGGAAACCCAAAAGCAAAAGAAGCAAAAAAAAAAAAAACTCTCAGTGTCCAAATGCACGTAAAAAGTCGCCGAGAAATTGTGTCAGCCAGTTTGCTGCTCTCGCCACGGTCGCTGTCGCCGTCGCAGTCGACGTCGCGGCTGCGTTCGCTTATGTTTGGGTGTTCTGCTTAACGGCATATTTGTATTTGCTGTTGTTGTTGTTGTTGCTGTTCTTCTTCTTCTTGTGGCTATTGCTTAGCAAATTTGAATTCGGATTTGGCATTCGTTTACTTTCCAGCACACATCTTCTTCTTCTGCTTCGTCTTCTCTAATTTGTTTGCCCACTTTTGTCTACAGCTGACCTTCCCCTCACGCTTGCTCTCTATCTCTCTCTGACCCTCGTTCTAGCCTGTTGATTCGCTTCCTTCCTCCATCAACTGCTCGACTCGGCTTATGTCCATTCTTTCTTTCGCCTCATCTCTAGCTCACATCCATTCGACCTGTTCGAGCTGCTACCTCAATAATTTCTGATATTACGGCAACTCGCTGCCATTCAATTTTCGAAGTCGAAGAAAGCGAGTTGCCAATTATGCAAAACGGCAAAGCCAAGCGAATGTCTGTGTGTTATATAAACATCAGCAGGACGTTGAAGTGTGTGCGTGTGTGCGTGTGTGTGTGTGTGAAGCTGTTTAGCATACTCGAAGCACTTGATACGTAATCAAAGTGACATCTGATTAGAAACGAAAATGAAAAGAAATTAGTGGGAGTGTCGAGATGGAATACAGATGAAACCAATGCATGGCTATAACAGTTTGTACACCAGCGCGACTCTTGTGCATATTTATATCGTAGTTTGATAAGAAAGACAGGCGTATAACAGTTTTTATAACAGTTGATACATATGTAGATACATATGTATGTATGTGTGGCTGGCACAGAGACACAACAGGTCTCCTCGACACTTTCGCTTGATCGCTGATTAACCATTTTCGAACTCGATTTCCGGCATGATTTCGAATGCAAAGATGCGCATAATTAACAATTTTTCGGTTTCGATTTCGATCTTAATTTCATGCTTGACTCGAATCAATTGATGCATAATTAACAGTTTTTCGGATTCGATTCATAGACGCGCCTTTTGATAATTTTTGATTCAGATGAATGTTGTTGTTTCTGATTGTTGTTGTTGTTGTTGTTTCTGGTTGTTGTTGCTGTTGTTGATGTTTTTGTTGGTCACTTTCTATTTTTCTATGAGCTTAATAATTAATTAATGCTAATAACATTTCACAACCGTTATAATTTATTGACAAAAATAGAAAATATGTGACCCGGCACATATACATACACAGAGACACACACACATGCACACACACACACATGCACACGCAGACCGGCGAATAGAGAAATGGAAATGAATGTCTTTATGAATATAAATATGAAACCTTTCCAGCTGTTACGTATTGGAATGCCAGTGAAATTATGTGAACAACTCAAGAAGAAGCGGAAGAAGCAGAAGAAGAAGTAGAAAAAGAAGAGGCAGCAGCAACAGCAACTAATGTTGAGCGAGCAATAGAGGACTGTAGATAACGTAGCCAGCCAAACGTCTAATTGGAACACACTAAAATCGCATATCGCATGGGAATTACAAAATTCTTATTCCAATTCGCAAGGCTAGTGAAGAGTCGTGACAAAATTATAATTCCAATTCGAAATGCAAGTGTTGAGCTAACCCAACAATTCCAATTGGATCTAACCATCCAAAAGAGTGGTTCGCCTCACCTCACGCTGCCCATGGCAATGCAGTCCGAAATGCTAGTGTTGAGCGTGTCCAATTGGAAAACGCAGCGAATGCAACTTGGCCAACTGTTGCTGCTGGCCACTTGGCCAAGAGTCCAGTTAGAATACAACGAAATTCCCATTCCCCCATTCCCAAATTAGAATTCCATTGGCCATGACCATTTAGAGTTTTACAGTTATTCTAGCTGCTGGCCAATCGGGCTGCTGCTGCTGCTGTTGCTGTTGCTATTGCCACTTGCTGCTGCCGCATTTGGTCACATACTTTCTTTCCACTAATATGTTTACAGCAACAATAACAAGTGGGTTACAAACAACAGTTGTCTGCAATTCCAGTTGCTTTGCTCTGACCTTCCACAGCTGAACATAATTGCGAGGGTGGTACAAAAAGTGTGTGACTTCGCAGCATTGGTAAAAAATTTGATAAGGTAGAAACCCAATTTAACCTTATTACGCATTGCATAGACAACTGAATATTAATTGGAATTAAATTGTAAAAATAAATTGATTTCATGATAAAAATCGAATCATTCTTGGTTGCGATTCGGTAACTTTTCAGCTGTCCCTCGTGTGAGCGTAACAAATCTTCAGCTCGCTCTCACGCATTGCATAGCTAAATGATGCATGAATGTAGATCGAATCTTAGTAGCTAGTATGTGTATTCCGCTTGCGCTCTCTCTCCTCCTCTCACCTACACACTCTCTCAGCAAGCTTTGAAGTTGTAGCTTGAGCCGTTATTCTGCGCCGGCGTCGCGAGTCGCGACGGACACTTGAAAAAGTCGAGTAGCTTCCAATGAGTCAATCGCTAAAAATTTCACTTTGCCAGCGCACAAAATGGGCGCTCAAAGAGACTTCACAAGAGAGCAGCGTGTGAGCATGTGAGTATGCGAGAGTGAGAGCGCCAGCATGCTGTTGCCGCTTACGTGAAGGAGAGGTGGGATTCATTCTAACGAGCAATATGTCAATTGAATAACTGTAAGCCGAGCCACAGCGTCGCTGCCGTTGTTGCTGCTGCTGCTGCTGCTACTGTTGTTGTTGTTGATGTTTTAAGATTTCACTCTCGCTTTTGTCTTTTGTCTTTGGATCTACTTTGTTGTTGGCTGTATCTTCACGTTTGTGTTTGAATACGAGTTTCGATTGATGCTGCTGCTGCTGCTGCTGACTACTATATGGCGCTGTTAATTTGTTTACTTTGAAACTCGTGCGCTGCCCCTCCTCCCCGCCTCCTCTTGCTCTTATTGTGGCTTTGAGTGCGAGAGAGCACGAAGCACATTGGAAGTTTAAAGAAATTATGTCAATATTTATTTAAATTCATTTCTTTTGGCAGCTCATGCGAAACATACAAAAAAAATGCAAGAGACGGAAAAAAAAATAATAAGTCGAAACGGTGAAATTTAATCGAAAGCCATAATTTTTTTTTTGGCTGAGATCTTTGTTTACCTTTGAAATACTTTTCGGGTGAAACCTCGATTCGGATTTAGTGCGAAATGAAGAGGGGGAAACACCCGCATACGCCTATGTACATTTATTCGCAGAGCTTAGTCTAATGCGACGCCAATTGGAGAGAGATCTCGCTTCACAGTATTTTCTAATGCTGTTTGATTCACCGAATTCGAACTCGAATTTCAGCCATAGATGGGCGTTTCAACTGTTTATCGAAGTCTAATTTCTTTTATTTACCAAAGGAAGTTCTCTTCGTATTCCTGCCAATATCATGTGGAATATAAATATCTAGAATTGAAAGTGCAAAGCTTTTATATAATATTGCTATACGAATTATTTCACATCTCGAGAGAGAGAGAGAGAGAGAGAGAGAGATTCCACTAATTTCCCACCATTCCAATTGCAGTTCAAGATGGTTCACGCCCTCGCTCGCCCCCTGCTGCTGATGCTGCTGGTTGGCTCTGCGCTGCTCTCCGCGGAGTCGAAGACCCTGAATCGCCGCACAGACAAGATCTCCGAGAACTTTAAGCAACTCGACCTGCCACCAGAGGAGATCGATCCAAATGTGGCCCCGCCCGAGTCACAGAAGCCGGAGGCCGCCGTTGCCGAGGCCGCTGCCGAGACAGTTGCAGAACCAGCCGCAGCCGCAGCCACAGCCGCTGCTGACGCCGTGGAGGCTGTGGACGAGACCGCCAATGAGATAGCCAGCGCGGATGCTGCTGCTGCAGCACCAGTCACGGAAGCGGCCGTGGCCAAGCCAAAGCCAAAGCCAACGAAGCCAACGAAACAGGACGATAATCCCATCAGCAGATTCTGCAAGTGCACCGAGTCCCACTGCGATTGCTGCCGCAAGTTCGGCCTGCCCCTGCTGCCGAGCGGACCGGGCTGCGCCAAGATCGCCTACCTGGGCAACGACGAGATGAGCGTCTCCCTCAAGTTCGGCGACATCACGCTGGCCTCCCGCCGCATCTCCAGCAAGCGGGCCAGGCCCATTTGCGTGAGCATGCCCGGCGGCTACTCCAAGTTCTGCGGCCGCGTCTACGGTCTGTCGCGGGCCCAGGAGAACTTCAAGGCTTGCCTGGCCTTCGAGCTGCGCTCCGACGACGAGCTGGAGGCCCAGCTGCCCATCTCCTGCTTCAAGTTTGGCTCCGAGGGTCTGCGCGTCGCCGAGGCTGAGCCTTTGCCCACAAAGGTGAAGAAGCCCGAGGAGGATGACGACGACGACATCTTTGGCTTTGGCGGTGAGTAAAATAGCTCGCAGCTTTTTTTATACCGGCATGGAATGCCAGATAAGAGGAGCTCAAGTGGGGTACCAGATAGATCTGTGAAACGCTCCAATACTTCAATTTGAATAGGATTTTTTAATCCATTTAATTCTCGACTCGCCTACCGAAGTCGAACTACAATTTTCCCTAGAACTAGCTCCTAGCTATGCACTAGAGATAGAATGGGGTCTAGCTAAATTCAATTCAGTCTAGAATGTGATTCCAACTTCGATTTCCAGGATCATTCCAATCGATTACCGATAGCTACTCGCACTTCAACTTAGTTTCCATTCAAATTTGAATCCCAAATTGTTTCATAATAATACGAACTGGCTCGATAATCTCTCCCTCTGATCCTATTTGCAGCTGGCGACGATGAGGATGAGGATGAGGACGATGACTACGACGATGGCGAGACGGCAGGTGCCTCTGCCGAGGACGACGATGCCGATGACTATGCCGAAGACGATGATACGGAAGCGCCGGAGGACGCGGACTACGGCGGCTTCAGTCTGGGCGGCCTCCTCGACGAGCTCGACGACGATGAGGACGAGAAGCCGGTCAAGAAGCCAGCTGTTGCTGCCGCTGCCGCTGCCACGCCCCTTGCCGATCAGACGACACGCGAGCATGTAGAAATGGATGCGCAGAGCAAAGACGAGGCCGGCACAGTTGTAGCAGCAGCAGCAGCAGCAGCACCCGCCGCAGCAGCATCCGCCGCACCAGATGCCTCGTCGACTGTAGCTGCTGCTGTAGAGGCTGCCGCTGCACCGGCTGTTGCGGCTGCCGAGGACAGCAGCTCCACGGCTACGACCACGTCCACGTCCACCTCGAACAAGAACAAAAAGTCGAAGAAGGCGAAAAAGAACAAGAAGAAGAAGAAGGCAGCCAACGACGCGGCAGGCGGAGAAGGCGATTTCGCCTACGAACTGCTCAACGGCATCCTGGATTTTTTCAATTGAGCGGCCAACGGGAATACGCCAACATGCTTGGCAACACTGTAAATACCCTGTATTACCGTTGAGCTGCGTTTACGGATGGAGGAGGGGACAAAGGAGAACAGAGCGGAATGAGAGGGGCGAGAGCGAACCGAAGAGCGGGTGATTGCTCTATGTGCATTCGTTTACGAATGGACTGAGCAAAGAGTGAGAGTGAACAGGAGCAGATGGATTTGGTATCAGGAGTTAGTTTGTAGTTTTGCTTTACTTTAATTATTTATGCATGCGCGAATATTTGCATTTACGAATGGAGTGACGAAAGGAGAATGCACAATGCAGAATGGAGAGTGGAGAGTGGGGAAAAGCGGGAGAAGAGCAATTCCAAGTGTAATTCTCCCATTCATTAATCATCTTTATTTTCATTTACGAATAGAGTGAAAGGGGTGGAAGAACGAAGAAGAAGAATTCTTGAATACCTTTGCCCGTTGCCCTATATATTTATTTAAACATGTATCTATTTATTGACAAATCGAGAAACGAAATCCATCTATCAGAAAGCCGAAATCTCCCTGCCCAGAGATCCATTTCTATCTACCCATCTAAATTAATATTTATACTTAATTTATTTAAATTTAAAACGAAAATAAATATTTCGCAAAACAAAAGTCAAGTTTTTTTTATTATTCTTGAAGTGCCCAGAGTAGACATACGAATCCTCAATCTCGGGCTCCGATTCAAATTCGATTTCCAATCGAGTCGACTTCCAAATGGATCACCTGAAAAAAGAAGATCTAGGGTGACCCGCCCACGGAAATAAAAAGCCAATTGGGAATGACGTTTTTTTAGCTTTCGCTAACATTTAATAAGAACTTTTAAAACGATTAAATACGGATTAAAATATGGATTATATACTTGTAATTTGTATTTAGTTGAAAATTGCAAACTTGGCATTCAATTGGATTGAATGAGCGGTACTTCCAGCTGGGTGGATGGCCCGGTACCCCAGTCGGGGCGGCATCCCTTTGCAATGGCCTAACATACAATTCACTAACTCCAAAATGCACACATACATATATGCATATGTATAGATGTATGTACATATGTATGCATATGGTCTTGCGGGCATTATTTCTGAATGGAATCTTTGTGCCATACAAAAATATTTAAAAAAAATCTGCAATCGTTCTACTCTCTCTATATGTTGATTATTCATATTTTGTGCACATATATGGAATATATATTTATGTATATGTTCATGTATATTTTATGTGTAGCTATATGTATATATATATCGTATATGGAGATAATGTGGTACGCAGATATATCTGTGTAAATAGTTCTTGAATAGTGGCATAGAATGGATAATACTCAGACCGAATAAATTGTTATATAAAGAGATCGAATACTCAGTTTTTGGAGTAAGTCCTTGTATATAAGTGTATATTGGTCTTTGGTGCATCTTAAATCAGTGTATACAGACTAAGAAATCGAGTTCTCGACAAATCCAAACAGCAGCCGAACTGTTAATCTAGATGTATATGGATCTATCGATATGTTTATCGGTCTGTATATCGAATCGCACGACGGTCTGTTTGTCGTTTGGCTAATGCTTATCCCCAAACGTTGAGCCGTCCCCAGTGGGCTGTCGCTGAGACACAAAAGCTTCTTTTGGATGGAACATGTGGATTGACTCTGATATATTGATATATATAGCTTGTAAATCATTTTGTACTTGTTCACTTTTAATTTGAACGAGCATTGAGCAGTCGGTGCTGGTCGACTTTGAAGCTTTGCACAGGCCTCGCAGCCTCCACTTGGGATGGGAGATATTTTCAATGCACAGCTTCAAGCAATATAACTTGTATACAGTCTTACGAATCTATAAAAAGTTTTCTAAATATTTTTGTATATTTTTACAAAATCTGGTATCCAAAGGTACGTATATCGAATCAAATCTGTATCCAACATTTTATTTTTAGTTTTCTGAAGTTCCTAAATCAAGTTTTTTTTAAAAGGAAATAACTATCGATATACATACAAAACAAAAGGAATCTAGTCCAAATTCAACTTAGAACTAATCAGAAATGATGTATAGTTTCGATCTTAAGTCTTACCTATATATATGTAGATGTGAAGCGAATAAATTCCGTATATATCTATTTATGAATGAATTTTTATATATGTATGCATATATATATATATATGATCCTGCTCTTTCGCTTGGCTCAAATATACATATAAATATTTCAATCTTCGTCTTATACAAATATATATATTTTTTCTATCATGCGCTACATTCTTGCATATGGAAATTCGTGGGAAAATTCTTAGTCAAAATGTAAAACACAAAAAAATGAATAAAACGAAAATTTGGTCAGAGTACTAGGTGTTCTAGGTATAGTTGGAATGGGAATATTTGTAATCAGTCTCTTTCTTTTTGTTTCGGTTTTGTCTTCAATTTTTGTATAAAAATAATAGAAATTGTAGTTAAGCGGGTCTGTGCAGAGGTATGTATATATGTGTAGTTGTGTGTGTGTGTGTGGGTGAGTGTATGTAGATGTGTGTGTACAGGTATGTTTAGCTGCCTATAGTCTAGACACCTGCTGACCTCATGGTCACCAGATGCTCTGTAGATACCCTGTTCAAAGCGAAGTGTGTATGGGTCTTGATATGCTACTAGATATGTTATTTGTGGTCTGTGTGTGTGTGTATGTGTGTTCTGGTGTGTCGATGTGTGTGTGTGTACGTGTACCGTGTGATGCAACTGCATTAGTCTACTCAAAAGTCCTTTATCTCCTCTCTCGATCTGTTTCAAGCGCTTCGCTTGCTTCGTTGTTTTGTTGAAGTTTTCTTTTGAACTAGTTCACTCGACTAGTTCATTTCCCTGTCATCTCTCATTGATTTCGGTGTGCCCCGTGTGTGTGTCTTCTTGGCTGTGTGTGTGCTCGAACAGCTCTCTCTTTCTTCCTCTCCTCTCTCTTGATACCCGGTGTGAATGTTTGAGAGCAGACTATGGAATGTTAGATGATTGATGCCTCTCTCATCTCCTTCTCATCGCTCTCTTCCGCACTCTCGCGCGCCCTCGCTCTTCAGTTGACTCACTCCTTGTCCTAATAGGTGCCAGCTTCTGATGTATGCCCCGAGATGACTTTGTCATCCCTAATTAACTTCAGAAACTCGCATCTATTCACTGTCTACAGTTATCGCCTTCTCGCTTTCCCCAGCAATACCAGGTATTACATAGAGCCGAGAATATCTAGTACTCCAGTTCTCCCACTTGCCTCCCACGTCCTCGTCCCGCCATGCGTTCTGTAGCTGATGAAGCGTGAATTGGGGTTGTCTGTATGCAATTCGTAGGTCTCTGTCTTCTAATATTTCGTGCTTTATACGGTTTCTAAAGCGGTCATCGGTCGGTCGATCATATATATATATGTATATACATATATGTATGTATATTAGCATCTCGGACGGTAACTATTTAGAGCTAACCAGCGCGTGGAGCAAGGTATACAAAAACTCAATTTAAATTGAGAAGAGATATATGTATTGGCTGGCTCTCAATATCTCGCCTTGCTCCCTCGCTGCTCTTCAAATGCTCCCTGAGTTACCCTAGGCTCGCTCGTCTCTCTTTGATGAATGTTGTCTGTGGTTGCTTCAATGCATAGATCTATTTGTTTTGATTCAAGAGTAATTTTCGCTTTTCCCCTTTCTTTTCACCGTCTTGGTAGTACTAGTGGTAGCTTAATTGTATATTTTGGGGTACTGCTTATGCCTTCCCCCACTCCTAATGTATTTCGAATTCTTATTCGTTTTGCGGTAGTCTCAGTGTATTTGTGGGGTGCAGAGTGGCTTTCTTAGTGTAGTTTGTGTCTTAAGTTCATTCGCTGGACTTTTTTATATATTTTGGTTTTGTTTAGTTTTTTTTTTTTTTCTAAGCACAACACATAGAGAAGTATTGAAAACACATATATGATTTAACTTGTAACATAGATAATTGAAGATTCCTGTAATCTTACAAATATATGATCTTTACTTTGAAAATTATGCTCGTTGGTTGAACTATTTTCGGGTTGGGTCATTCAGCCAGAGTGTCTTGGAAAATCATAAAATGTAACCGAAATCAACTTAATCCCTTCTCTCAACTCCATTGCAAGCTGTCAGCCCATCAGCCTGACACGCCTTACCAGAACAGCGTACAGGGTATTGCAGCTAGTCCGGCATACCCGCCAGCCTAGCTGCTCAGCTCAGCGCTTCGTTTGCTTTGCTCTTCGCCTTTCATTGAATTGTCTAAAATTGTGAAAGTTCTTTTAAAGTGGACTACTTTTAAGCTTAATGGAGTTGGGAAGAATCTGTCCATCCGCTCTAAGTGAGAGACCTGATCATTTCACTTACAATTTAGTCTTTTGAATATATTAATATGAAAATTTAATGTCAAGTCAATGAAAAGCGAATCGTATACTCAAATCAATCTGGGGTAAGGGCCAATTACCGCAAATACCCTGTAAATAAATTTTTCGCTGCTTGGAGGTCATTCCCAGGCTGTTCGAATTTAGTGTTTAATAAACTGTTTTGTTCGCATTCTTTTCGAAATGTTTGCTTATCGATAAAATTGATATTTTTGAGCTTTGTATTCAATGCATAAATTATTGTCCATGGTCGCTGACAGCTGGCTAGGAACTAGAGAGTAGATCCTAAGTCTATCGATATTGTTATCGATTGTCACTTTATGCGAAATTCTTGGTTGAAATGTTGCAACAGCAGCTAGTCTCAAATTGTCGTAAATTCAGAAATTTTTCCAATCGAATCATCGTTATCGATCAATCGATCTGTAATCGTTCTGCTTTTGATCTTATGCTTCTGGTTTCAGTGATTATTCACATGCAGCATGCGCATATGAACGTGTATAACCTTTTGATATCTGCTTTTGATGACTGTACTCTTCGTTGTTTCTATCCCGAGCGCTCCTCCCGTTAGCTGCGCTCCGCTCCAAGTCAGTCAATCAGTCTCAGTCTATAGCCTCGCTTATAAACAATATAGCTAGACGCACACACACACACACACACCCATCCACAGACGCACACCCACGCCCATCCAAAGCGCTCCCGCCCCCGCCCCCGCTTAGATGACGAACAAGTTGGTGCAGCTGGACGAGTTGCGTCGCTTCATGTTTGTCCTGAAGCGCAGCACCGATGAGAGAAACACCTTGGTCAGCTTGTTCACGACTCTCCGGTTGCAGGCGGCGGACTCGAGCTCGTCCTTGGCATTCGATTCGCGCCGGGCAGCAGCCGCCGCAGATGTCGAGGGCCTGCTGTCATTGTTGTCAGCCGCCTGCTGCTGCTGCAGCTGCAGCTGCTGCTCGTCCTGGGCACGCCGCTGACGCATGCTGGCGGCCAGCTGCTCGAATTTGCTCATCTGCCTGTTGCTCTCCTCCTCCTCCAGCTCGCTCTCGCCCATCTTCAGGATGCACTCGAGGTTGAGGGTGCGTCGATTGGCGGCACGCCTCACTGCCTCCAGGGACTTGTGTTGGCCCTCGTTCTCGTTCTCCTTGTTGTTGTCGTTGTCGCCGTCGCCGTCGCCGTCGCCTTTACCGTCATCCTCCTCCCTCTCGTCGCCGTCCTCCATCTTGAAGATGCTCATCTGGCGCACCATCCGCCTGGCCGGCAGATGCATGCGCCGATGCTTCTGTATCGTCGTCTGCAAGTTCAGCCGCTGCAGATCGTACTCGCTCAGCAGCGAGAGGCGCTGCGGATTGAGCTTGACCTGGGCGACAATGCCCACCAGCAGCTCGTCCACGTTGTGGTCGAGGCCCGACGACGTCTCGATGAACTTGCACGCGATCTCCTTGGCCAGCTTGCGTCCAACTGCAAAGAGCGAGCCGTGCTACTGCGAATGGCAAGCGAATGGCGAATCGCCAGCTGCGGGACTCACCTTGGCGCGACACCTCGCGATGCCGCTCCAGATCCGTTTTGTTGGCCACGAGTATGGCGCCGCGCGTGAGCAGCATGTCGTTCTCCTTGAGGTAGGTCAGGACCTTCTCGGCTGCCTTGAAGGTGCCGCGGTCCACCACGGAGTAGACCACAACGAACAGATCAATGTTGTACGTGGCACAGAACGCCTCGGTCTGAAATGGCATAGACATAGAGATGTACGCAATTCGATATAATAGACTCGGTCTCTCGGCTCGGCTGCTCAATTGGAAATCAGAAATCGAAATTATTTGATGACAATTTCCCTGCAGGGCTAACTAATACTCTCTGTGTTTCCCTTGGTATTTGCGAAGAGGCGCTCGAGTTGGCTCGAATTGTCAAATATCTAGCCCTTAGCAATGTTAGCTGTGTGCACACCTCCATGTTTACCGTTAGGTGGCAGTTGTGTTTGTGTGCGAAGCGCCTGAAATGGAGGCTGCTCCTTCCTGCAACTGCAATGTGCCCGATTACAGTTCATTTGCGCACAAAAGTAGGCAACAAATTGGAAGGAAAGTACTCCTGATTACATAGAGATGATATGATATGATATATGTGTCTAACTCAGTTTTGCTAGCCACAGCTATTATTAGAGTATATTCAATTTATAGAATCTAGCACTGCTCAAAAGTAATAGTAAATGTGTGTAACACAATGGCTTTGCTTGACTTTTTGGCTTACACACACACACACACACACACACACACACACACACACA